CATAGATTCCTATTAAATGTGCCAAGAATATTAAATGTTGAAGAAATAGTCTGGTAAGCAGCATTCCAGTAGGAAAAGAAGGATGCTGTCCCACATCTGGGCTTGACCACTGTCCCCCTCGCTGGACATGTGCTGGCCTGCAGACCTTGAGTGCTGGACTCCTGGCATCTAATAACTGTTTCCCTTTACAGTGACTCTTCTTTGTTTCAGAAATAATCATGTTTCAAAAAGTACACAAAAGCAGAGAAGACGGTTTAGTCACTGGAACAGAAGTAAATACTGTTAATATTTTGATACTTAATCTTCCAGTGTTTTGTATACATACTTTAAAATTTTTTTTATCAAAAGTGAAGTAAGTGGTCCTCTACCCAATATTTGTAACCATCTTGTTTCATAATGTTATTTTCCTGTGTCATTAAACAATTACATCAAAAAAAAAAAAAAAGAATACTGGAGTGGGTTGCCATTTTCTTCCCCAATGCATGAAAGTGAAAAGTGAAAGTGAAGTCGCTCAGTCGTGTCTGACTCTTAGCGACCCCATGGACTGCAGCCCACCAGGCTCTTCTGTCCATGGGATTTTCCAGGCAAGAGCACTGGAGTGGGGTGCCACTGCCTTCTCCCTTTTTATTAGAAAAGTATTCAAATATAAATGAAAGTTTTTTCAAAAGAAAGAAGACTAGGAGTATGAAGCCTAGATTTCATTCTGATTAACCCTATGGACAGAGGAGTCCATGGGGTCGCAGAGTTGGACACGACTGAGCGACTAACACACACACACACACACACACACAACCCTTAATTAGTTGTGTGATCCTAAGTCACTTCATTACAGTACCTTAACTCTGAGTGACTTAGAAACTGATAAAATGATAATGATAAAATTTATTGTGTCTGATTGTATGCCTAGAATTATATCAAGTGGTACAAAGAAACAAAGAACTGTATGTATCCGACCTGTTCTCCAGGCATCAGGGTTGGGGTGTGGGGGCAGAAGGAAAGGCAATATGGTTTCTGGAGATGCCGACTATTATAGAGAAGATAAACCCCCGATGGCTCGGCGGGTGAAGAATCCGCCTGCGATGCAGGAGACACAGGAAACTCCGGTTCCATCCCTGGGTTGGGAAGATCCCCTGGAGAAGGAAATGGCAACCCATTCCAGTATTCTTGCCTGGGAGAATTCCACGGACAGAGGAGCCTCGCAGGCTACAGTCCAATTGGTCATAAAAGAGTTGGACACAACTGAGCGACTAAGCACACACATAGAGAAGAAAAGTGTCACTTCGTTCCATCATGAAGAAGTAACACATTAAGATCTGGGTATACATTTATATACCTTCCAGACATTTTACTATCTACATAAATATGTCTTTTTTAAAAAAATAAAATTTGGACTATTCTGTTAAAAAAAAAAAAAAAGGCAGGGGGGACTCTAGGTGATTCTGATGTTGGCTCAAGGTCGAGAACCACTGAATAAAAGAACTCAGCAAGGTAACGGGGTACAAAACTATGTTGAGAGCCTCCCAGAATGCAGTCATTGGTTTGTGGGGGTGGGGGAGAGCCCACTCACAGAGCCAGCAACGACAACAAATTTACGTAGCAAACTTGGATGTTCCTGTTCTTCGAGGAAGCAGCAGCGTCAGCCAGTGTCAGTTCTGCCTACGTGCATCAGTATTTAGTGCCATCCTGAAAATACTATCAAAATGGTAGTATTCTGGCGGCGCCTCCTGGCATGTGGGATCTTACTTCTCCGACCAGGGATCGTTTGATCCCTATGTTCCTGCAGGGGAACCACGGAGTCTTAACCACTAGACGTCCAGGAAAGTCCCCTATCAAACATTTTAGAAGTAGTCAAAGTGCTACCAAAGATCAGACAGAATCAAGCATTTGAAGGGAAAAAAAAAAAGGTAGTAACAGAAATAGCTCTATGTCTTTCTATCATAAAACTGAATCACTTCACTGTATGTCTAAAACTAATGTAACACTAAATCAACTATAGTTCAATATAAAATTTTAAAAATGTTAAAGAGAATCAAAAATTTGAAAAAAGGAAATACCTTTTTAAATGGAGCAAAGATTTAGGAGGACTAGAAAGCACAGCAGAAAAAAATGGTTTTTGAGTAGCAGGTACACAAAAACTAAATTTTAATACAGTTGTTGGTGACAACATGGCCAATGGGCACTCCAGGTCTCAAAAGTATAAACTGAGCTTGAAAGAGGTGTGTTAGTTTGTTAATATCTAAATAAAAAAGCATGTACCTTTTGATCCAGTAACTTGGCTTCTAAAGGTGCATCCTCCAGACGGAACCAGAGAAAGATGAGCATAAACGATGTTGACTCCAGCGGTGAATAGTTACAGACAGACCGTTCCCCAGCCGGGGATAGTTGAACTCCAGAAAGAATGGGGCATCCATCTCACAGGACGTCACACAGTCGGGGAGAACAAAGGGGTAGATACAGAGCTATTTCTACCCAAAAAAAGGTAAGGGACAGACCAGGGTGTGTAACACTTTACCTCTAGGGAAGAAAAGGCTTGAGGGGCACAGGAGTTAGACTTAGCTTTCAAGTTACACCCTTTTGTATTTTGACCTTTTTTGCCATGTATGCATAAGCTAATCTTTTAATTAAAAAATACAGTGGGTCCATCCACAGATGAATGGATAAAGAAGATGTGATGTGATGTGTGTGTGTGTGTGTGTGTGTGTGTGTGTGTGTGTGTAATGGAATACTACTCAGCCTTAAAAAAAAAACCATGAAGTTCTGCCATTTGCAGCAACATGGATGGACTTACAGGGCATTGTGCTGAGTGAAGTCAGAGAAAGATAAACACGGTCTGGTATCACTTATACATGAAATTTAAGAAGTAAACTACTGAATCAAACAAAAAAGCGGCAGACTAGGGGAAACTAGAGAAAATACAGAGAAAAATACAGAGAAGAAACTAGGGGTTGCCGGTGGAGAGGGACGATAGAGGGGCTGGGGGAAAATTATGGGGTTACAAAATCACGCGTGAGAGACTTTTGAAAATTGTAAAGCAGTAGAGAATTTAAAGAAAGCGTCCTTCAACAGAAAGAAAAAAAATTTCCAAAAAATAACTATGGTGGGAAAAAAGTTAACAACAGCCATGCTTTGAAAAGTTGTTTTTAAAGTTATGCTGTTTAAAAGCCATGTGTTAAAAAGTTAACACACAGCACTTTTCAGCCCTTCCTTCCAGCACCTTCACGGACCCTGATCTGTCTCCTGATAAGGGAGGGAGACTGCCTCCCTTACGACCCGAACTTTTATCCCCCTTTTTATCAAAGAGCAAATTCCTCATGTGTTAAAACTAGCACTGCAGGTTTCCCAGGCCCAGGAGAAGCGTGGTTCCTCCAGTCACCGGTCAGGTCCTCAGCTTATGAGGGTCCCATGGATGCCCCACGCCCACGTGCCCTCCACAAGGGGTACACATCCCCCGGGTTACCAAGCGCCTGGGCCGGGCACCTGCTTCCATCCTGTAGCTGAGCTGTCCTGGGAAACCATCAGGCCCCTGGGCATGACCTGCACTCTTGTGAGAAGAGACACGAAGCAGAAAACAGGCCGCAGAAACACCTCCAGCCTCTCTGACAGCCACAGACAGTAAATGGTATTGAAGGGACCTTTTATTAGCGAGGTATTATTCCACTGCATTTTTATAAAAAGTCTGTAACAGACTGAAGACTCGGGGCCTAATTCTTCAGATTATGGTACAGATATCTGAGGATCGCAACGTCCTGTGTCTGCCTCCCATCAGTTAGGCAGCCACAGAAGCACCTGAGAAGCTATTAAAACTGGCCCTTTTATAAGGAAAGTCAGTCAAGATGGAGTGTGCGTGTCACCGTTGTGAGTGTGCATTTCCTTGTGAAGGCCCGTTTGCAAGGCCTTCTGCTCGGGGCTCAGCAGCAGGTCTCATGAGCCTCCTGTAGAAAACGCAGAGCCCGCAAGTGCACACAGCTCGGTCACTATGGCTTAAAATCGGGGCAGACTCGAGAATAAGGCAGCATTTATTGTCAGATCTGCAGCAGGACAGCGTGGAGCAGGGAGAATAGGGGCAGGAGTCTTAGGGCCGGGCCTGCAACAGCCCCGAGCTCGATGCTCAGCATGTCAGGAGGTTCTCTGGGCCACCCCCGAGGGACGGGGCTGGACTGGACAGGGCCCAGCCCACCCACATCTCCGCTAGCACGGCCAAGATACACACCATCCCCGGGGGGGCAGCACGAGGTGATGCTGGGAGGCCAGGAGCCCAGGCCGGTCCTGTCAAGGCACTCGCCCCCAGCTCCTGCGACAGGCCTGTATCAGCAGGACTCTCAGCCCTGAGTGTCCCCACGTCTACATCAGAAACAGGACCACCACTCTGCTTCTCTGCTCACCTCCTGGTTTCCCATGTGCTCTAGAGCACAGACCCACTTAGAACAGCTGACAAAGGCCGACATCCAACCTCACTGAAGACCCAGGTCACTGTCACCTTCAAAATCTCCAGCTATACACTGTTAGTACACTGCTAACGCTTTTTTTTTTTAAAGAAATACAGAAATTCCATATCAGAGGAAGCTACTCCCCAAAGCACGGGGATTCCCTTGACCAGAAGAAACGGCGCCTCAAGTCTCTTAACTGGGGGGCCTGAGCAGAGGCCCAGTGACCCCCAGTGAGTGGAAACACGCCCCCACCACCACCACTACAAGAACTCCAGTCCCCAAAGATGCCAGTTCTGGCCAGTCTCAACAGCTCAGCGTCCTCTTTGGATTTCATCCCTAGGGAATGAGCCAAGTCTAAGGATCAGGTTGCTAGCTGTATGCTCGGGATTCCGGGGGGAGACGCCCCCTCCGATGGACATATGGCAACAGAGGAACTGTACTCTGTGCGGACTGGGCACCGCCAGGACATGAACCGCACGCTCTGGACCAAAGTCAGGCCTCCGTGGGATGTGGGAAGGTGGGCAGGCTGCGCTCCGGCTCCAGGGTGGCCCACGCCGGCACACCAGCCCGTCCTCACTGCTCATCAGGGACCTCCCGGAGCCCTTCGCTGTGGCAGCCCCGCCCACTGACTCTCAGCAGGGCCCGGGCCTCAGGGTCGACGTCCAGAATGCTCCTAGTTTTCCTGGCCTTGGGAAGAAGGAAGGAGGGGTGTGTTCAGTGACCAAAACCAGCTGGTGGTGTCCTGCCGCTGGCACGTTTCTCAGAGCGGACTTGGGGCCCTACTGATGCCACAAGGGAAATGTGGGGGGTGGGGGCTCTGGCCCTGCCCCCACTGTGTCCCCCCCACCCTGGGAGGCCATCGCTGGGGGGTGATGCGGTGCAAGGAGGCCAACAACTCATCGTTGAACCCTGGATCCGGAAGGGACCCCAGACCCTCCTCAGCTTGCAAAGGAGCCCCCATCCATTTGGGACCCCACCTCCTTGGGGTGGTTCTTTTAGGAGACCCCCCCACAGATCCCAGCCAGGACTCCCTGCCCAGCTGTGCACCCACAGGCATTCCTCTGGCCAGCGACGGCTGCTGGAAACAAGTCTGGGGAAAACCATCTCCAGGTGGAGGTGTGAAAGGTGCGCAACGGATCAAGCCGAGAGGGGAGAAGCACCCCCACGCTCACCGGCTCTGCCTTCGGGGCGTCTCCCACCGCCCACACCTCCAACTTCTGGAACTGGAAGTCCTCCTGGGCCGACAGCTGAGGGCTGCCGTAGGTGGTGCACGTAGGCTTGGCCTTGCTGTGTCCTTTCCCGAAATCGACATCGATCCACAGCCCAAAGTAACCATGCTGTCCTCCCATGCCCTGCGGAGGGAGGCACGTCACACCCCAAAGCCCACCCCAGCCCTCAGGCCACAAGGGCGTGCGGGAAGCGAATGCAACTTTCTTCTTTTTTTAAAAAACTGTGAAATAATATAGATTGGTACAACTGAAGGATCCCACTGAAGGTGGGACACTGCATCCAGGTGTCCTGAGTCCCACCCAGTGGCTCTTTCTCACGGGGCGGCACTGGCAGGAAACACAAGTCAGGACCTCCCTGGTGGTCCAGAAGCTAAGACTCCATGCTCCCAGTGCGGGGTGGGGGGCGGGCCCCATCCCTGGTCAGGGAGCTAAATCCCACACACCTCGCTCAGTTCGCCTGCCGCAAGTAAAGACCCAGCGCAGCCAAACAAATAAAATATCTTAAAAGGAAACGCAAGTGACAACTGAGAACAGAAGAATCCAGACGATCAGACCCAGAGACCGCAGTCTGTAAAATGAGGGCAGAGGTCCTCCCAGCGCTCGAGGCTGGGAAACCTGTGTCCGGGCCCTGTGCTGGAGCAGACGTGTCACTCACTTGGGGCGGTGACGGCAGGGGGCAGGGGGCAAAGGAGGAAGCTTTCCGGCTCTAGGTGAGTGACCGGCTGGAGCAGAACTGCTGTTCAACCTCTCTGGTCCCCTTCTCCGGGGGCCGCCTCCACCCCGGGGGCAGGAGTTAACACTGAGCAAGAGACCAGCGCGGACCAGGGCTGCCTCTCCCCGCTGGCCAGCTACTGACCTGCTTAGGCCGAGACCCTTGCCCCTGTCGACACCAAACTGCCCTCTCAGAAGGCATCTCAGGCCATCGGGGGGCCCAAGGGAGCCCCAGAGAGAACCAGGGAGGAGCTCGGGGCCTGCTCCACACTGATGAGGTTGACCCACCTTCCCCTCCCCTCGGTGCTGCAGACTCGGGACTGGGAATTTCCCGAGATGCTTTTCGTTAAGCAGCAAGGAAGAGAAGTAGGCTGGTGCAGCTAGGAGACACCTCTCGCACCCAAGCTAAGCATCTGTGCGGGTGCCCATCCCAGCTCCTCGCCTAGTCCTGTCCCCACGTCCCCCACCGTTACCTGTGGCCTTCACCCCTGCCCGCTTCTTCCTGTGGCTGAGTCCAGCCTGACGGGTCCAGGGAGCCCAGCCCTGCCCCCAGCACGAGTGCCAGGGCAGCGTCTCCAGTCACAAAGGCCACAGACCGACCACCTGATGACCGGGAGCCTGGTGGAACCCGTCATTCGCACACAAAGCCCAAAAATGCTCCAACAGAGGCCCTGTTTTTTCCGAGGGAGAAGTTTGGTCATGGCTGTTACTCCTGGCATCACCACCCCGAGATCCAGGCAGGATGTACTGGACACCACACGCTGCCTGACGAGGGGGCAAGTGCCCCGGGGCACATCGGGGCTGGGGCTGTCACCGAGGGATGGACGGCACCACGGGGCCCGCGCCCAGCCACCCCCAACCCTGGTCCTTACCAGGCCGTTGGGGATAGTCTGCCGCCCTTGATTCAGGTACATGTAGTGGTTGTTGTAGCCCGTGCAGGTGTACACGGCCATGCTGGGGGAGACGGAGAACAAGAAGCACCTGTTGTCCCCTGAAAGTGAGCAGAGCGCAAAGAAGACGGATCACCCACCGCAGCCGAGCACGCGGAGGAGCAGGAAACGCAAACAGGCCCACTCAGAGGCTGAGCTGGAGGAGCTTCTTGGGGTCCTCGGTGTGTGGGGCAGGGGCAGGGGGGCTCCCAAGTGTGGGAGCGGAGCCCTCAGACCAGTGGGCAGATCCCAGACCCACGGCTTCCCAGGGCCCGTAGGATGAGCTGTGGCTGGGAGGCGAGGGTGACCGCCAGAAAGGAACGTGGCGTCTGCCTGCTGGGGATGCTGCCCCGCCACCCAGAGTCAGAAAGGGCAGCCTCGTCTCCGCGTGGGAGCAAAGGGCAGGCGGTCACTGCAGGCCCCGGCTGAGCGCCCGCACGGCCTCAGGCACGTCACCCAGGGGACAGAAGACGCCTGCAGACGCAGCTGGCTGGGAAGGGGGGGCGCACCCTGGGAGAGGTGACCCTGCACCTTCACCTGGGCACAGGCGTGGGCAGGCTCCACTCAGCGGAGGTGCGATCAGAGCTCCAGAAATGAGGAGCCCTCCACCTCAGACTCCTTCCCCACCCTCATGCACTCACTGCGGGGTGGAGACGGAGGGCACACGCACCCCGCCTGGGGACCTCCCAGCCAGGTGGGAGCCAGGGCCGTGCCCCACAGCCATGGGATCTTCGCCGCCCTCCGCGGGGACAGTGTGAGGGCACCTGACACTGGACCCATCTCAGGCACTGGGGGAGGAAGCCCCAGGAAGCAGGCGGGCGACCCCAGTACAGAGGATGACACAAAGTGGGCTCTGAGCCCCAGGAGGCTTTGCGGAGGACGGCCCTGAGCGGCAGGCCGGCCTAGACAGGCAGAGTCAGGACCCGCGATGCCCACGCCTCCCCTCCAGATGGACCCGGGGGCCTCCGCAGGGACTCAGCTCCTCTGAAGCCGGGAAGATGGAGACAGCCGGGTGAGGGCCCCTCCGCGGAGGAGGGACCCCCGAGGGGATGAGGAGGGCACGAGGGAACAGCGGGACCCCTCGGCCGTAGAGCCAGGTTTGTGGGCGCTGGAGTCGGGGAGGAAGGGAAGTGAGCCTGGGGAGGCCACAGGGACTGGGACACAGGGCTGCCCTCCAGGCTAAAGACTCAGGCTTGAGTCCATGTGCCCCAGAAGGGCGGGTCTCGCCTCCAGTAATGTCCTGGTCCCACCCAGCCCCGGGACCGTCACTTCACCTGCCAGTCCTAAGGCTGCCTGTCGGCCAGTGTTTCCTGGCTCCTGGGTGCTGAGTGAGGTGTCCGGGCCACAGAGCATGGACCTCATGCTAGTCCATCCTGGGATCCGTGCCCAGAGGGACGGGCCACCTGGGGAGGACGACCCTCCACTCCAGGGCGCAGGGCAAGCACCGAGGAGTCACATGACCTGCAAAGGCATCAGTCCCACGGCGGGCGGGGGCTCCTCGCCCGACTGTCGCCACCATACCACCCCCCATCACCCCAGGGTTTACAGGCTACCATCCCCATGGTTCTGGGAACCCCAGGCTCAGAGAGGGTAAAGCACCCCGCCCAGGACAGAGCCAGACTCCACCCAGTGCTGTGGGCCTTTGGCTGCCCCTCGGCTGGCAGAAGCGGAAATGAAGTGACCCTGTGGGTGTCACGTCTCTCCAAGGCACAAATACTCGAGGTGACTGTTTGGGGACCAGTAGATGAGAAACGCCCAGGACGTGAAAGGCATCTGCGAGGCTGGGCTGCCCCCTGCTGGAATCCTGGCCTCACACTTCACGACAGAAAGAGCTCCCCTCTGAAAACCTGGTAACTGCATCTTCCCATGGTTCTTCAAGCAGAGGAATGAATGCTGCTCTCGTAAATGTAAGCTGGAGACGCAGCGGAGCTGACCCTTGGGTTAATACGAGAGGAGCTGGAAGAAGTGCAAGTTTCATCTGGATAATAATGACTCTCGGGGCTGTTCTTCCACGTCCTTGAGCAGAGCCTCCAATCACACAGAGACCCAGCTCATCACCCCCAGGGCCCCCTCCCCGTGATGCTGTGACAAGGTGGGCAAGCAGCTCTCTGTCCTAAACCGTGTGTACAGGCAGAGGAGCCAGAGCTGGGCTCCTGCGGTCCTCCTCCACGTCTGGGGCATGGGTGGCTGTTGGCAGAGGGTGCTGGTGTGGCTGGCTCCCCAGTAAAAAAAAAAAACAAACCCTGGGCACTGATGCTCTAACACAGCCCTGCTGGACAGCACTGCACCATTTAATGATGCTGAGCCGCTGTCTCCTCACCTGAAATCCAGGGGTGAGGACACCTGTCCGGCTTACCTGACCCGGCAGCCAGAGTCTGTACAGAAATCCGTGAAGCTAAACCTCCATAAACACCATGCTTCCCCATCCTCCCAAACACGTCTAGAAAAAAATGCTTGGGGGAGGAGATGGAACAAACAGCGCACACGCTCTGGCGGGCTCAGAGGTCTCCATGTGGCGGCCGAGGGACCAGAACTTGCCAGGGGCGCTGCGCTACCACGTGGGGCTCGGGCGGCCGAGTCTCACCTTGAAACTGAGGCTTGGCTTCCCAGGAGCAGGAGGCAAAGCCCCCAAACACGTGGCCGTCACGGTCCTCAAGCAACACCAGGCAGGGCCCCCTGTGTGTGATGTGCCCACAGAGCTGGGCGAAGCTGTTCCCGTGGAGCTCAGTTGCGAAGAGCAGGCGCCAGCGGAGCCGCCGCTCCTGGGGCAGGTGTGAGTTGATGTAGATGACGGACAGGACGTCCAGGAGGCTGGCAAACTCCCGCTGCCGGTCCACCTGGCGCTCGGGGACCAGGGTGGCCAGCTCGAGGGTCGAGCACAGGAGGAGGAAGCCCTGGTGGATGACCAGGCTCAGAAACGTGGCCACGTGGTGGGCCCGGAACACCCAGTCCTCGAGCACGGCCTCGTCACAGTCACAGTCCAGCCACTGAGGCCCCAGAAGCTTCCCGCCACCTAGGGGAGGAGAAAACAGCGCTGGAGGGTGGGGGCGGCAATGACATCATCTCCGCTTTCCTGAATCTGCTCTGTCCAACAGGGGAGCCACACGTGCAGTTCATCTGCATCGAGATGCATGGTGAGTGTAAAATGCACACCCCATTTCAAAGACTTGGTGTGAAAAAAAAAAGAGTGTAAAATAACTCATTTTTTTTTAACATCGCCAAGGTTAAAGTATATTTTGGAACTTTTCTTAAAATTAATCTCACTTGTTTCTTTTTGCTATTTTCACATGGTTACTAGAATATTTAAAATTTCACATGTGGTTTGCTTTGCAGTTCACATCCTACCTCTGTTGGATGTGCTCATCTAAACAACTCGACATCAATGCTCTTATCTTTTCTCTGCAGTCCCAGCTGTATTTCAGAGGCCCAGAAGACAGTTATACCCCCACCTGGGTCCCTGAAACTCCCCAGCACCCCTTCCTGAGAGGGCTGGCTACACCAACTTTGACTTTGGCTGTGTCGCTCAGTCATGCCTGACTCTTTGCAACCCCATGGACGGTAGCCCACCAGGCTCCTCAGTCCCTGGAAATTTCCCGGCAAGAGTACTGCAGTGGGTTGTCATTTCCTTCTCCAGGGGATCTTCCCAACCCAGGGATGGAACCCTGGTCACCTTCATTGACAGATAGGTTCTTTACTGACTGAGCTACCTGGGAAGCCCTACATCAGGGTAGTGGTTGGTAATTTCCTGGGCACCCCTCAATTTATCTGGGGAGAACAGTTTTCACTAACTACAAATTATGCTTCATTGTTTCCGACCAACACCTATGGTTCTGATTTCTGTCTCTTACCTACCAGGAACAGAGGTGATGTGGCAATGGCACCAGAAGACAAACTATTGGGACTTCACACATATATTACTGTCTTGTATATTATGTTATTATTCTTTCCAAGTTCCAACGACCTGTGTTTAGAAATCCAGCTTTATAATAAATCAGTAACGCTTTTATAAAATAAGTCAACTTTGTTTTATACGTTGACAAGTCTACAAGATTCACCTCAAGGTATTTTTAAATTCCAAGTAGATTGAAATAAGTACTGTTTCTCTGCCAACAACAGCAGAACACATTCTTCTCAAGCAGGTCCGGAATATTCCTCAGAGCAGACCATATGTTAGGCCATAAAGCATGCCTTGATAAACTGAGAAGAAATGAAGTCATGTAATGTATGTTCTTCAATCACAATGTAATAAAATTACAACTCAGAAGGCAATTTGGGAAATTCACAAATACATAGAAATTAAAGAGTATACCTCTGCACAACCAATAGAAGAAATCACGAGGGGTGTCAGAAAACACTGAGCTGAACGAAAACAGAAACACAACATACCAAATGCGATTCAGCTAAAGCAGTGCTCAGAGGGAAATGTATAGCCATAAATGCCTATATGAAAAAGAAGAGAGACCTCAAATCAACAGCCTAACCTTCTACCTTGAGACACTAGACAAAGAAAACCAAACTAGACATCAGAATCAAGCTGCCAGAGTAACAGGACATGTAACTCACCTCTTCCCACAAATACATCAACAGTACATCTACAAGACTTCCCTGGTGGTCGGGTGGTTAAGAATCCGCCTGCCAATGCAGGAGACATAGGTATGATTCCTGGTCTGGGAAGATCCTACATGACCCAGAGCAACGAAGCCCACACACCACAGCCCGCATGTGCGCTAGGGCCCGCATGACACAGCTACTGAGCTCGAGGGCCACAACTACTGAAGCCCGCATGCCTACAGCCCACACTCTGCAAGGAGAAACCAACACAACGAGAAGCCCACGCGCCACAACTAGAGAGCAGCCCCACTCACAGTTAGAGAAAGCCTGCGCACTGCAACAGAGACCCAGTGCAGCCAAAATTAAGTAAGTAAAACAAGAATACATCTGCCGGCCGTCATCAAAAAAACCTACAAAACATAAATGCATGAGAGGGTGTGGAGGAAAGGGAACCCTCCTACCCTGTTGGTGAGAATGTAAACTGGTTTACAGACACTACAGAGAACAATATGGAGGTTCCTCAGAAAACTAAAAACAGAGCTACCACATGATCCAGTAATCCCACAACTGGGCACACACACCCAGACAAAACTATAATTCAAAAAGATCCATGAACCCCAAGGTTCATAGCAGCACAACAGCCAAGACATGGAACCAACCTAAATGTCCATTGACAGAGGAATGGATAAATAAGATATGGTACATATGTATGATAGACTATTACTCAGCCATAAAAAAGAACAAAGTAATGCCATTTGCAGTAACATGGATGGACCCAGAGACGCTCATACTAAGTGAAGGAAGTCAGAAAGAGAAAGTATATTACTTATATGTGCAATCTGAAATACGACACAAACCAACACATCTGTGAAACAAAAACAGACTCACACACACAGCGAACAGATGTGTGGTTGCCGATGGGGAGGAGTATGGGGGAAGGACAGATTGGGAGGTTGGGGTTGTGCATGCATGCATGCGCACTCGATCATGTTCGACACTTTGCAACTCCATGGACTATAACCCACCAGGCTCCTCTGTCCATGGGATTTCCCAGGCAATAGTACTGGAGCAGGTTGCCATTTCCAATTCCAGGGGATCTTCCCAACTGCATCTCGTGTCTCCTGCATTAGCAGGTGGGTTCTTTATTACTGAGCCATCTGGAAGCCTGAGGTCGGGGTTAGCAGATGCAGACTATTATATATGGAATGGGATAAGCAATAATGTCCCAGTGTAGAGTGCAAAGAACTATATTCAATATCCTATTACAAATTATAATGGAAAAGAATATATTTAAGTCTAAATGAGTCACTGCATTGTACAGCAGAAATCAACACAACACAATCCACAGTACTTCCTTTTTTTTTTAAAAAAAGGGGCGGGGGGGAACCAAACTAAATCTAAAGGAATCTAAAGGAAGCAGAAGAAAGGAAATAAAAGACTTGAAGATAAATGAAATAGAGGTTAGACAACAGAGAAAAGTCCACAAAATCAAAAGCTGGCTCTTCGAAAATAACAAGAAGTGAACAAACCTTTAGCTAGACTGACCCAGAAAAAAAGAGAAGGCTCAAATGACTAGCATCAGGAATGAAGGTGTAGACGTCACTACGGACCTGGCGGAAATAAAGATTATGAGGAAATATTACAAACAACTGTGTGCCAAGGAAGAGATAATCTCAACGGTCCTCCGAATTTGAAAGATACACACTTGCTGACTTCAAACTTTAATACAAGATGGCGTGGAACCACTCTCCGACACCAAGGTCTAGGGACTAGGGCGGGGCTCTTGCCTTGAAGCTTCATCTCGGAGCACAGCTGGGCAGCCAGCACCTGCACCCTGGACGGGGAGCCTGGGGGTGGCTTCTGACTCCAGCCTCGCAGCTGCTGTCTGTAGTTTAGCACGTGCACCACAGAGCCAACCAGGTCCTCTGTAAACTTGGAAGATCACAATTTCACCGTTAATCGCACCGCCATTGTACCTCTGACCCACATCAGATCAACATGGAGAAGGGCGTCTTGTCTCACTAAGGCCAATGTGGAGGACCCCAGGGTGGGAAGAACCACGTGATTTGGGTAGTTATTCAGTTTTCCAACGATGCCCTTGGCTGGTCTAGTTGGCTGATGCCTCTTTGTCCAGGAGTTCTTACCTCAACCGGTTATGTGGTCCAGGGGCCCCCCAGGGGGGACCTCTGCACAAGGCCTCCATCAGCTGCTGCATCATCCTGAGCCCCCCAGAAAGGCACCAGCACTGCCTGGGGTGGCTGCAAAGCGCCTGCTGGCCTCTCACCTTGTAGACATCTCTTGCCTTCACAGGACCTCCTGAGGCAGAAATCATGTTCAGGAGCATGAGACTCTTCTCCTCGGCAGTTCCTTTCAACAGGTGGGACATGGACACTGTGAACTGCTTCTGGGAGATGTGCTCGCTGGGCTCCTTCACCTTCCTGCTGCCGTCCACCCTCTGCATGCCCTCGAACAGTCTGGTGACCATCTCTGGGGGAAGAGCGTCCCCCACATGGCCCTGAGGGGACAAGCGGGTGAAAAGCCCAGACAGGGTGCAAGTCAGACGCTGTAGGATGACGGGAAAACAGGTAAGGGACCAAGACCAGCCGCTGCTACCAGCAAAGAACCTTCCCAGGCCCCCAGTGCACCATCTCTGCCCACTAAGGGCATCACACCACCCCAGGACCCACACACCTGACGTGTCCCGGCCCCTGGCTCATCTTGGCCATCAAACTCTTCTGTCATCGGTTCCCATACCGCCCTCCAGACTTCCCAGTCTCCCCAGACTGGCCATGTCCTTCCTGCCTCTGGCCATCGGCTGCTTTTCACTCTGCTAGTGTCTTCTCCATTCTAGTTTGAGCAGCTGTCATGTGCATGTCTGAATGTATCTCCTTATGGAACACACGGTCTGTGTAGTGCTACACTGATCTCCTCTGTATCAGGGATTCCCAGATATATTAACTATCTATCCAACTTCTTTGTGCTCAATATGCATTGGAAACTGGGAGATTGGGATTGACATATACCCCCTACTATATATAAAATCAGCCTTCCCTGGCGGCTCAGACAGTAAAGAACCCATCTGCAATGCAGGAGACCTGTGTTCGATCCCTGGTTTGGAAGATCCCCTGGAGAAGGGAATGGCTACCCACTCCAGTATTCTTGCCTGGAGAATTCCATGGACAGAGGAGCCTGGTGGGCTACAGCCCATGGGGTCGCAATGGGTCAGACACGACTGAGCGACTAACACACACACGCACATAAAACAGTTAACTAACAAGGAGCCGCTGCATAGAACAGGGAGCTCTATTCAATCCTCTGAATGACTTCTATGGGGAAAGGATCTAAAAAGGAGTGGGTGCATGTATTTGTATAACTGACTCACTTTGTTGTTCACCTGAAACTAACACAAGATTGTAAAGTCCCCAGAGGGGCCAAAGATGTCTGTGATGTCGCCGCACTCTAAGCACCTGAATGCACGCGGTTAAGAGCCCCAAGGAACGGAGCCAAAAGATGGGGAAGCGGGCAATCCTCACTCCTTGTCAGGAGCACCCTGACCCTGAAACTTCGTTATTTTGTTGGGGAAACAACAAAATTCCTAGGACATCAAACACTTACGAATCCTGAAGGCCAAGGTGGACTTGAAACTTGGCAGTTATCAGACCCACAAGGACAGGTTGCGCAGCCCATCACCCCTTGCGGGGAGAAATCAGGGTATGGTGGTACAAGAGACGGGAAGCAGTCAGCCCCTCTGGTCAACCTCAAGTGGGAAAAGTCCCCGAACAGTGTGAAGGCAGAGCGGAGCAGCTGCCACACTGGCCACGGAGCCCACAAGGCTAAAAGTAGGTACTATCTGTTCCTTCACAGAAAACACATCTCTCCATGTTCCCACACGTGCCTTACAGGAACTGAGGGGCAGCAGCAGCCTGACCCCTGCTCCAAACTAAACATGAACTCCCGACTGTTACCCTTGCCTTCAGTGCCTGCAGAGAGAAGGATCTGTGCGAGGTACTTGAGCCAAGATTCTCCGACGACAGAGCATCGAACAGCCTGTTGACCTCAGCCTGCTCCCCGGGGAGAAACCGCGAGGAGAACTCCTGTCCGGGGTGACTCTTGCTGTTCCCCATCTGTCCCTGTGGCTGGCGGGACTCTGCAGGAGAGAAATTCACACCCAGTTAGAGAGAGAAATCAAATATGTATAGGTGGCTCTGTCGGTAAAGAGTCCGCCTGCAGTGCAGGAGACCCAGGTTCGATCTCTGAATCAGAAAGGCCCCCTGGAAAAGGAAATGGCAACCCACTCCAGTATCCTTACCTGGTGAATCCTACGGACAGAAGGAGCCTGGTGGGCTACAGTCCATGGGGTTGCAAGAGTCGGACATGACTTAGCGACTAAACCACATATATATTTTAACTATTTTCTCTTTTATCTTATTTTATTGCCGCATGTCATGTGGGATCTTAGTTCCCTCACCAGGGATTGAACCCATGCCCTCTGCATTGAAAGTGTGGCATCTTAACCACTGGGCCACCAGGGAAGCCCCAAAATATGTCAATCATAGAAAATAAATGTCAGTAATTATATGGTCAAGGTAAGCAACACTGATCTACTTGCAAAATGCAGCAAAAATGCAGACCTATGTAGTGTTTCAATGTGGTAGAAATTATTATTATTATTATTTTAGTTACTCAGTCATGTCTGACTCTTTGTGACCCCATGGACTGTAGCTCACCAGGCTCCTCTGTCCATGGGGATTCTCCAGGCAAGAATACTGGAGTGGGATTCCACTTCCTTCTCCAGGGGACAAATTAGTTGACACAAACAAAATGCGAAAACTCAATCAGATTCCTCTGACTTCTCAAAGACTGCTCATAACTGCCAATCAACTGTCTGGATTTCTTTGTTCCAAAATACTTTCTAAGCTAATGTAACTAAAAGGTAGAAAAATCAGGATTTTAATCTAAATATTCATTTTTTTAAAAAACCTGAGTTGAAAAAACAATCTGTAAGGGTGGATGATTACACATATTTAAATAAAATCAACACCTTGCACATATCACCTACAGAGCAGAAGTGCCGTGGGACACGTTCTTCCTTTGTGATCCAGGCTTCTCGTGGCGGCTGGGCAGCCTCAGGCAAGTGACCGAAACTCTCTGCGCCCCAGGTTTCTCATTTGTAAAGTGGGAATAATCACAGCCCAACCTCAGATGGATGGGATCTTTGCGCACACTGGCCAAAGCTGTGAGAACCCAGCCCAGGCCTCATCTCTGGGAGGGATACTAAGAGAAGCTGGCACCCAAGAGCAGCTGGCCCAGGGGCTGCATTCGGGTCCCAGACCTCATCACAGAAAGGGGTTCAGCACCATCCGATCCAGCACCATCCGATCCACAGATTCAGACAGAAAAGCACATCCGAGATGAAACAACCACATAGGAGGCAGAGTGCCACAACTTCCTAACTCCTGTCTTTAGACTTCATCTGGGTCCCACCATGGTCAACCTGCTGGGGAGAGGGGCACCCCCCCACACCCAAAGCAAAGCCCACAGGCTCCCCACAGATCACATGGAGGGGGCAGGCTGTCCACAATCCAGGTGGAGCATGGATCACAGACCTCAAGAGGAAGCAGGGTAACGTGGGGCCTTTCTTCTTACTGAAGTGAGATTCACATAACACCACAAAATGACCCATTTCAAAGTGAGCGATTCAGTGGCATTTGGTACATGCACAATGTGGTGAGACCACCACATCCATCTAGACCCAGAACATTTCCATGACCCGAAAAGAAACTCCACACCCATTAGTGGTCACACCCCATTCCGGGCTCCCCAGGCCCTGGCAACCACTAACACACTGTCCCTGTGGATTTGCCTGTTCTGGACACCTCGTGTAAATGAAATCATCCAACACGTGGTCTTTGGGGTTTGGCTTTCTCCACTCAGTATAACATTTTAAGCATTCATCCATATTGTAGCAGGATTAGGACTCCATTCTTCTTGGGTGAGTAATATTCCAGGGTGTGAAGATACTGTGTTTGGCTTATCCATTCAGCTGTTGATGGACATTTGAGCTATTTTCTATCTTGAGGGTGCTGTGAACATATGTGTACATGTACTTGTTCGAGTCTCTATTTTCAAATTGGGAGGGGGATGGATATACCTAGGAATGGAATTGTGGGATCGTGTAATCTAATGTCTGTTTTTTGAGGAATTACCAAACTGTTTTCCGTTTTATATTCCCAGCAGCAAAGCATGAGAGTTCCCATTTATCCACATGCTCTCCAACATTCTTGTTATTTTTCCGTCTTTTTAATCCCGCCGTTGTGGGGCAAGGGGGGGGATCTGCCCTGAAGAGGACGCCTCCAGCACAGGGCTCCTAGGAGGGCTCCAGCACACTCCCAAAGGCTGCTCAAAACGGGGGCTTATGCAGCCCAGTTTGGAACTGTCACTCACAGGCCATTTGATCTAAATGCTTCCACTTCTCAGCTTTCTCAGCAGCTTAAGAGACGAGAAGGAAAGCTTCCAGCCCCCAGCTTGGATTCCAGTCTGCAAGAGGCTTCCTTGTCTCTGAGATACAGGGGGCGGCACCCGCTGGTGCCTGGTCCCCTTCAGGGGGGCACAGCCCAAGCGGCCTTGCCAAGGCAGACCCGTCCTCTTTGTCAACTCTTCTAAGAGCCCAAGAAACCATCTGATCAGTAGGACATGCTGAGGAGATGAGCCATCTGCACTGTTCTGACTGGGAAGGGGGCTGTGGGTTATTTTGGGACCCCGCACGGTGACCTGATCTGCCTGTGGTTTTGCTTCTGCTTGTTGCTACCCCCACTTTGCTTACATTACTGGTAAATCACAACAGCTTTAGTCAAAAAATATTTTCAGATTCATACCCTCCCCAAGCAAGGAAATTCAAGATTTCTCTAAAGATCTCTGCTAATTTATCAAATCACCGAAAACTTATCCCTCAACCTTTTCTGCATCCCTATCTTGTTATCCTGCTGAAATCCTGAAAATGCAAGTGTATAAAAATACACCCTAGGAATTCCAGTTTGTTCTCAGGGTCTTCATACCAAAGGTCATCACAACTTTTCACATCCTCTAGAAAACTTTAAAGTTTGTGACACTAGAAGGCCCATGACTCACCTAAACGCTGGGAGAAATGACTGCCTTCTGAACACCTGGGGGGTTTTTGAGATGTTAACACAGCTCGTGTCAGAGCTGGACCCTCCGGGCCGGCTGACAGCTGTGCCCACCCTGGTAGGCTCCCAAGGCCGACCTGGCAGATGCGTGTGGTCCACTTGGAACGTCAGATGCCAGTCCCCGTGAGCAGTTCCCTTGGGCCCCCCATCTGGCTAGGAGGGCCCTCCTGTCCACCTCTGCACACCTCACCAGCTACTCAGCCTCGGGTTCCAAGACTACCCAGCGCTCCTGACTTTCAGAGAACTGACTGTTGCCCTGAGGGACACAGACCCCTCCTTGCTCACTCTGTTTGGACCCCACCTCCACCTCCCACCCACCCCCAGGTTCATGCCTGACTCACACACCCATAGAATCTGAAAATCACAAAGGAGACTCTGCCCCACGGCCACCTGGTGGCCGGCACCTGAGCCAGCCTGGTGCATGCGGACATGTGGACACGCTGGTCCAAGGCCTGTTGTTCCTCGCCCGCCCTCAGGTGGACAGCCCGTTCCCCACCACCTCATGAGATCCTGGGTGCAAACTCCAGGAGGCCGGCCTGGCCCCGGTCCTGAGAAAACCAGGCCCCCCACATTTGGCCCCCACAGGACATACTCCTAGGCCCCAGGCACTCAGGGGCCCCTTGGATCAATGCCCTCAGTTTTACCACTCGTGACCGGTCGCTGCCCACCTCTGCACCCCACGGCCCACAGCACCTGGGTCCCCAGGAAGCAGGCAGAGGATCCAGCCAACACCACCTCCAGCCCCTTTAACAGTGATGCCTCTAAATGCTGCATCTCAGATTCCCCACATCCTGGGAGAGCGGCCTTCCTTCTCAGGACTGAGGAATCACTCTCCCAGGGGCTACCAGCCTCTTTAAGGGGGACCTCTGGGGCTGAAAGGCTGCCGGCCCGTAAACGCCTCTCCTCAGACGTCCCCAAGTGTTCCACAGCTGAGGACCCAGTGCAGCCAGGGGCTGTCCCACCGGGTCACGGGCCCGCCGCCTCCACGACATTGGCTTTCCTGACACAGGCACAGGCATCTAAGTCCTTCCACAGATGACGGCGTCTCCTGGGCCAGGCCCCGTCAGGGGGCGGGCAGACAGAAGCCTCAGACAGGGCCTGCAGGAGCGTCCCATCCAGCAAACAGTGTGGAGATCGGCAGGGAGGGGGTGAGCAGAACACAGGGGACAGCGAGAACGTGTCCCGAAGGACACAATCCGGCTGGGTGTTCCAGCACTCAGAGGTGGCTCAGCCAGGAAGCCAGCACAGTGCACAAAGGCACAGGGTGAATCCAAGATGGTCCAGGCAAGGTCTGGTGTGGGGAGGGCGCCTGAGGCGGCTACACAGCAAGGCCGGCCCTCCTCTGCCTCTATCCAGCCCCTCACCTTCAGCCCACCCAGCCCCCTCCTCTGACCCACCAGAAACAGGCTCCTCCACTGCTGTCAGGAGACAGCAGCCTGGCCTCCAGGGGGCCCGAACACCCACAGGAAAGGACCGAGGCTGGGCGAGGCACCTGCAGGGAGGACCACAGGGGAGAATGCAAGGAGACGTGCAGCCCATGGCATGGGGGAGCCCAGGGAGGTGCCTGGGGGAGATGCCAGGAAAGGCCCAGAAGCGGGGCAGCCGGCAACACTGGATTTCCTTCCAGGAGGAGGGAGAATGGGGTGTGGCAGCCTCGAGCCAGACAGCCTCTGAGGCCACGCCCCCTGGCCCCACCCACCAGTCTGGGTGTCCACAGGGCACCGGTGAGAGGACGCATCTCAGGACAGCTCTAGGAGGCTTCTCTCGTGGCTCAGTGGTAAGGAGTCGGCCTGCCAATGCAGGAGACATGAGTTCGATCCCTGATCTTGGAAGACCCCACGTGCCACGGAGCAACTAAGCCTGTGCCCCTCAACTACTGAGCATACGTGCTGCAACTACTGAAGCCAGCATGCTCTAGAGCCCGTGCTCCACAACAGGAG